GTTTATTATAATTCCCCGTGTTTTTATCATAATCTCCCAACGTGTTGATAACTTTAATAATATTTTTTTCAGGAAAATAAAGTTCTGCTTTGATAAAAAAATTTGCAAATTCGGTTTCCATTGAACACAAACGAACTCGTGATGCACTCTTATAGTAATGAATATTACTGGAGTTCTATTCCAACACCAAACCGTATTTTCAACACGTCGACACGTGTTTCAATCACCAATCATCTTCAGGTGGAAGATTTACCATAACATTACATGTGTAACACTTTATCTCAGTAATTATTTTAAAAATATGTTTATCATGTTACTGTATACTTCCTCAAAGATATTGTTATTTATATGAAAGGTAATAGAATTGATTTTTACTGTTACTCACCTTTGCTTATAAGCAGCTTTATTCACTAAAGTGAGATTATCGTAAATCAATTCTGATATGGATGCTTCAGCAATTGATGAAATAACGATGGACTTAGATGACTGCCTCCTTGACGAAGAAGGCAGACCCATGGCTTCGGAGGGCAAACTGTTGGACGACGTGGAAGGAAGAATGCCAATTGTAGCAAGCACACCATCGAAAGTTGAAGGCAGGCTGTCAATTAAGGGAGGCAGACTGTCAGATGCAGAAGACAAACAGTTACATACTGAAGACAAGCAGTTACACACTGTAGTCGAACAATTGAACACCGATGACAAATCATTGGACTTGGAAAGAATTGGTGCAACAGTACTTGAAATGAAACTTACATGATGAATACGACTGATCCCCTCGACACCGTCCTCCTCAATAGGTAGGTACATTTCGAAAAATATGTCTGGGTTTCATTTTCTTCTGTACAGACCTGCCCTCCAACGAGTCAGTAATCCGTTCCATTTCTTTTCTACCCTTTGGAGTTTTCCATTCTGCTTTATTTGGGCTGCCAATGTTAAAATTTGTCTCCAAGACAACCTCAAGTCTGTATATCTCACAGCAAAATTAAATAAGGAAAGAAAATCTTCGTTAATTCCATTTATGACGATTTTGTGACGTTTTTCCAATATGAAACACTCCACCTTAATATCCCGTGATATTATTTCTGACCTGAGGATGACCAACTGCATGCCATTTTCAATAGTTATGAGTGCAAAAGCCGCCATGATAACGCGATCATTCTTGATGTATAAGTGAATACAACAATGAGAACATTTACCCAAAAAACGACGAAAAAAAAAAACAACGACGAAGACAAAAACACCCAAAGGATTGTATTTCATCGACCAACCCTCAAAACAAAAGGAAAAAACAATTTTCACATCTTTCAATAGACAGTGATTCATTTTTTACTACCCCTGCAACTTCATATCTATTGATTTTTATTTTTCAAAATTGTGGGGAATGTATTGAAATGAATTATAGTTTGAAAACCTAAAAAAAATACCAAGCGAAACGAAAAATGAAAAATATTTTTTCAGTATCTAATTCGTCTAAAATAATAATTGAGTTATTATCAAAGCAATTAATTTAATCAACCAACATCCAACTTTATTCCAACTTTCTCAGTAAAAGCGTGGCGAAGAAATCGTGGATAACTTCACTTCAATCTCTACCAATGGCCAAATTAAAGAATATTTGAATTCACAAATATATGCAGAGTAAACCAACGACTTTCTTCCGAACCTTTCATCTCGAAATTCATAATGGAAATCTAGAGAATATGGGCGGTATCATATTCAGACTTACCCTGTTTACACTAACTCTTGAATTTACAAAAATAAGCAGAGTAAACCATCGACTTTCTTCCGAACCTTTCATCTCGAAATTCATAATGGATGGGCGGTACTATACTTGGACTTACTCTGTATACACCAACTTAGTAACATAGGTAACATAAAATAGCATCCCATAGCCATAGAGCATTTTCAAAATTTCCTTCCAACCCCTCTTGAAGATGATCACTTGGTGAACGAAACACGTATCGAGGTGTCAAAAATAACGATTTGGTGTTGGAAAAAAACTCCAGTAATATTCATTACTACACCAAAGGTTCCAAACAGTGCATCACTCTGTATAACCTCTCAGACTCATTTTGCAAGGAATACTTTTATCATCGCGCGGTTGGACTCATCGAAAGGAATACACTCGACTCAAGAGCAGTTAAAATAAAGTTGTTGCAGGGGTGGAAAAACATTATTTACGAAATTTCCTTCCATTGGGATTGTATTTAGTATACAAGATAATATTCGAAATTTGAATTATTTAAAAAATACTACTAAATAATTTAAATACTCAAATCATATTTCAACTTTTCAATATTTGTTAACAACATACTACCGAAATGAACAACTTGTTTTGATGTGACAATGACAATGAGTGAGGTTATGTAGGATGGTACCGCCAATTTGTATAGCGATTCGCACGCAATTAATTCATCGACAGAAATGATAAGCCAATGACTAATGCAGAAGCAGAATGTAGGACAATATTCCAACTATTTTGAAATTTGAACATTAGACGTAACTTCTTATTGTTTGTCATTTTGAATGACACAGTTTTCGTTTGGTCAATGGTTTCTCAACATTAAAATATAACTAAGCTTACTTATTCCCCAACAACACTTGAAATGACAAGTCTGAATATGGTACCGCCCATATTCTTCAGGTACACATTATGAATTTTGAGGTGAAAGGTTCGGAAGAAAGTTGATGGTTTACTCTGCATATTATTGTAAATTTAAAAGTTAGTGCATACAGGGTAAGTCTGAATATTGTACCTCCCATATTCTTCGGGTACCCATTACGAATTTCGAGGTGAACGGTTTGGAAGAAAGTCGATGGTTTATCCTGCATATTATTGTGAATTCAAAAGTTAGTGTGTACAGGGTGAGTCTGAATATGGTACCGCCCATAATCTCCAGGTACCCATTATGAATTTTGAGGTGAAAGGTTTGGAAGAAAGTCGATGGTTAACTCTGCATATTATTGTAAATTTAAAAGTTAGTGTATACAGGATAAGTCTGAATATGGTACCGTCCATATTATTTAGATAACCATAATGAATTACGAGATGGAAGGTTCGGAAGGAAGTCGATGGTTTGCTCTGCATATATTTGTGAATTCAAATATTCTTTAATTTGGCCATTGGTAGGGATTGAAGTGAAATTATCCATGGTTTTTTCGCCATGAAACAGTTAGATGTTGATCAATTAAATTAATTGCTTTGATAGTAACTCAATTATCTCATGGTAAAAGTCCAGTATGTCTGTAAGCGAAATGAAGTAGATGAGGGAAGAATAAAACTCAAAGTCTTATCCACAATTCTTTGTAGCCTTCAGAAATTAGAAGAGTAAAACTATCAAATAATACATGTTTCGAACCTATATAGGTTCATCTTCAGCTAAATATTTAAAATTCTACAATCAAAGTAGAAAAATTAAATAGTTAACGCCTAGATTTATGAAATACCTACATGGAGAAAAACATTTTTGCAAATGGCCAAAGTCACATGTTAGCTTGAAAATTGTCTAATTGTCAATTGTGTTATTTTAGACGAATTATATACTGAAAAATATTTTCCATTTTTCGCATCACTTGCTATTTTTTTATATTTTTGAACTATAATTCATTTCAATACTTTTCCCTGTTTGGTGTAATTTTTAAAGATAAAAATCAATAGATTTAAAGTTGCTGGGATAGAAAAAAAATTTACTGTCTATTGAACGTTGTGAAAAATAGTTATTTTTTTCTTNTAGGGTGAAAAAAAATAAATAAATCACTGTCTATTGAACGTTGTGAAAAATAGTCATTTTTTCTTTTTTTTTTCAGGGTTGGTTGATGAAGTATACTTTTGGGTTGTTTTTTATTACGTCATTTATTAGAAGGGACACTGCCATCAAATTATGAGATTTTAGCTGGTGTCAGTAAATGTGAAGATTTGAGGAAGCGAACTGTAACACAGATCAAAATGTGGATCTCCAACAACATGAAGACGAAAACTAGTATTTACAAGTGATTTCAACATTTTACCATTGAACATTGAAATCGAAATAAGATTGTGAAAAATCTTGGAAAGCATAAAACGGCTGATTAAAACATTCAATATTAGTGTTAGTTTTACAAATTATTAATGAATAATATCAGTACGTACCTTGGCAGTCACTGCGTTCTTACGAAAAAGTTTCCAAAACACTATCAACTAGCTCCAAAACAGAAAATCTTTCACAACAACTTAAAGAGTAACCGCACACGCCTCAAACTTAGTCTCGACACTACAATTAAGCAGTACTTGCTGGTAGCACCGCACGAACGCTGTAGTCACTCTATTTCGTATTAAAATTAATGTGGTACGATTTAGTAAAATTCAAAAAAGAAATAGCAATAGTGGTAATATGAATTTAAGACCCTGAATGTAGAGATATTTTGTTACAGAATTTGCAACAAACCTAATACCTGCAAATTCTGTAAGCAGTCCAAGACTAATGTTAAACGCCACATCTTGTCCATGCACAGAAATGAACCTGAGGATAAGGAGTACATTGCAATGACTGATGAAAACCCTAAAAAACAAGAAAAACTTTCACAAATCAGAAGATATGGTAATTTCTCTGCTTTCAAAGAAGGTGAAGATATTGTCCCTGCTAGAGTCTCTAAATATTTTGATAAACCTGATATATCTCAGTACATAGCATGTACTTGCTGCCAATAATCGTCAAAAAAGATTCATTAAGGAAACATTTACAAAAAAATTGTACGAAAAACCCTTCCAACTCGAGCAAAGGCGTGTTGTTCAAATCTAGAGCTATTTCAGAAAATATTCATAAAAGGGCCAACGAAGTTGTTAAATATTTCTTATTCCCTGCTTTTAGAGATGGTCCTGTTAAAGAGATCATACGATTTGACAACCTTATTATTCTTTATGGTAATGAAATGGCTTGTACGTACAGATCACCGCATCATTATCCTATGAGATGAAATCGTATGATAAGAATGGCAACGGTTTTGTCAATGATTAATGCGTCATTTCGAAGACATTTTGAAGCCCCAGATGTTTGACTATATTATTGAAGTTATTAACTCCTTGGGAGATTATGATGAAAACACAGGGAGATATAATGAATCCTCTTTACCAACCGAAGTTGGTACAATAAAACTGCATGTGAGAGTTTGTTAAAACATAAGAGGAAAAAATTATCGATTTTGCCCTCAATGGAGGATATCAAGAAATCGAACTCTTATGTAATGACAAAGAGAAATCATTACTTTGAGGCTTTGATGAAAAAGTTCAATGTAAATACTTGGAGGAACTTGGCTAATTTTACTTTGATTAACATATTGATTTTTAATCGAAGGCGACCTGGAGAACTCGAACGAAGTCTCATTTCTGATTTAGACAGCTTGGCAAGAAGTGAGGAAAATACGGATACATATAAAAAATTGTCTGGAAACGACAAGATATATGTGAGGGAATATGTAAGATTTGTCGTCAGGGGAAAATTGGCAAGAGGAGTTCCGGTTCTCTTACATAATTCAATGCATGAATGTGTTAAATTATTATTGAAATACCGAAAAGAGGCCGGAATTGATGATANTAATCTTCCGCTTGAAGATGATCACTTGGTGATTGAAACACATGTTGATGTGTTAAAAATAACGGTTTGGTATTGAGATAGAACTAAAGCAATATTCCTTACCACAACAGTGCATCACGATTTGTGTTCAATAGAAACCCTTATTATTTTATAAAAGCAGAACTTTGTTTTATGAGGAAATAATCTGTAAATAAAATTTTATATGGTTTCTTTTCTAGACGAGTTATTAAGGAATTAGTGAAGTATTCAACATAAAAATCTTGTTAATTTTCTCTAGTATTTTTATCATTTTGTTCCCGATACTTTTTTATGGTTGATTCGATATATGCTTATAAGCCTTTAATAGATACCTTGTAAAATTCAACAAAGAAATAGCAATAGTGGTAATATGGATTTGAGACCCTGAATGTAGAGATATTTTGTTACAAAATCTGCAACAAACCTAATACTTGCAAATTCTGCAAGCAGTCCAAGACTAGTGTTAAACGCCACATCTTGTCCATGCACAGAAATTAACCTGAGGATAAGGAGTACATTGCAATGACTGATGAAAACCCTAAAAAACAAGAAAAACTTTCACAAATCAGAAGATACGTTAATTTCTCTGCTTTCAAAGGAGGTGAAGATATTGTCCCTGCTAGAGTCTCTAAATATTTTGATAAACCTGATATATCTCAGTACATAGCATGTACTGGCTGCCAAATAATCGTCATAAAAGATTCATTAAGGAAACATTTACAAAAAAATTGTACGAAAAACCCTTCCAACTCGAGCAAAGGCGTGTTGTTCAAATCTAGAGCTATTTCAGAAAATATTCATAAAAGGGCCAACGAAGTTGTTGAATATTTCTTATTTCCTGCTTTTAGAGATGGTCCTTCAAAGAAATCATACGATTTGACAACCTCATTATTCATTATGGTAATGAAATGGCTTGTAAGTACAGATCACAGCAACATTATCTTATGAGACGAAATCGTATGATAAGAATGGCAAGGGTTTTGTTAATGATTAAAGAAAAAAATTCTTCTGTGCGTTCGAAGACATTTCGAAGCCCCAGATGTTTGACTATATTATTGAAGTTATTAACACCTTGGGAGATTATGATGAAAACACAGGGAATTATAATGAATCCTCTTTACCCACCGAGGTTGGTACATCTCTAAAATATATGATCCAATTACATATTTCGGAATGTATCATAAATGGGCACATGGAAGGAAAGAAGGATTCCAAAAATTTGTTACGTCTGTTGAAAACAGCTCTTCCGGCACACGTCAATAAAACTTCATCTGAGAGTTTGTTGAAACATAAGAGGAAATAATTATCTATTTTGCCCTCAATGGAGGATATTAAGAAATTGAACTCTTATGTAATGACAAAGAGAAATCAGTACTATGAGGCTTTGATGAAAAAGTTCAATGTAAATACTTGGAGGAACTTGGCTAATTTTACTTTGATTAACATATTGATTTT